GAGCCGGATGTATGTACTAGTAGACCATTGTGCCTAGTGTGTTTTGGTTAGTGTCTCTGGGCGGATGTTGTTTGCAATTTGGCCTGATTTTGTGCGTGTGGATACATTGATGTCGTGTGTGTGTGGTTGAGTTGGATGTCGTCGCATGCACGTCATGTGTGCGACGTGCTCTGAATGTCATCCTAGATGAACGGAAGCATACGAAGTACAAACTGAGTCATTGTTGATTTGAGTTACAGGGCGTATGCGACATGGATGTACTAATGTCCGTGCACTTCGTGTGTTGTGTGTGTGCATCTCGAAGTTCCCTCGCGTTGTACCTACGTGTGGGCTCCAGAGTGATGCCAAATAAACAGTGCATGTGGTACGTCTGATACGTCGCTGTTCGCGTCGTTGAGCTGGTGCATGCGTCATAGATTCGTTGTCTGTGAGTAGAGCTTGTGCCTGTTACTTCGAGCCCGTATATGCTTCGGATGGTGTTGTTGGTGGAGTGTCTGTTTGTGTGGCGTGCGGCGTCGTTGGTGTTGTTGCATTGTGTTGGTGTTCATGAGGAGACTTGACGTTGATGTGTTGTGATGGTTAGGATGTTTGCGTTCTCCGTTGAGGTATGCTAGTTGGCTTTCTCCAAGTGCCTTCAGGGCGACCGATGTTCATGCATTGGATATTCTGCTCAGTGTCAGCATCCTCGTGTGATGCGGATAGACCTATCCCGATGGAATTTTGCAATGGGAGGCGTCGTTTGCTTGTTAGAAGCTGAGCAGGGTGGTTATTGCAAGGCTCGGTATTCACTACTGGTCTGTGACAATAAAGGAGCACAACTATAGCCGGTTGCTTTATTACCGCTGGCGTGGATGTGGTGTTTGTGTTTGTTGCGGAAGTCACCATTCGGCCAGCACTCAGGTGATACGGTTGGCTGTGATCCTGAATGATATTTTGTGTCGATCGGAGAAGCTGCACACGTGGTTCCGAGTGTTCCAAGGCTGCGTGTATCTGTCTCCAAGTAAGTCACAGTGGGACTGTGAAGTCAGACTTGTGAGGAGGTGTAACTGCTCTCCACTGCGTTGTGTGTGTGACTGTTGGGTTGAATGCTAAAGGTGGGTGTCGTCGAACCAAATCCATCTCTGAGAATGGGTAACTGGAGAGCCTGATCTGTCTGCACGCACTCGTGAGAATTTTGTCCATTTATTTCATTCCTCTGGAAGTTTGTTCTTGTGTTCGGCGGCAGTAGATGACTTCTGACATGAGGAGCCACGGCGTAGAGGAGTCCGAGTCGTCTTTTGACGCTTTGGTATCATTGCTCGTTGGATCTTTCAACGTCCACACACTGTTGCCGATCGGTGAAGAGAGAGCGCTCGCAATGACTTGACACTGGACTCGGTGTTGCCGGGCGCTTTACTTCTGGGACACGTGCATACGACAATCGGTTAGCGAGCTTGGTTGCCAATGCAGAGACTGGCGGGCTTCGCTTCTCCGGTGATACCGGAGTGGAATGCATGGTCCGACCATTGGCAGTGTGGTAGTCGCTCTGATTTGATGCACGTGAAGTGATTCACCGGAATAGATTGCGTTGTGCAATTACATGTATGTTATTCGATTTCGAGATCGCGTCGGAGTTACTCAGCGGTGGCTGAAGTCGGCGTACTATTTTGTTGTCTCAGTTTACATCCAGACCGGCTGTAGCGCAGAGGTAATGGAAGATGAATTTTGCGATCATGTCTCCTCTATACTTGTAATGGCCGCAGGTATGGATATGGTGGTTGTGGTTGTGGTTGGCGACATATATAAGCTTCAACTCGATCGGGAATCTGGACCAAGACTGCCTGTGATACGTTTTCTGGGTTGCATCTCGTCCTACTGATGATTGCGACGGTCTCCTTTATTTGTGCAGCGTTTGTGATTTGCATGTCATCAGTGCACTATTTTCCACTGCGAACGCCTTCGTTTAGTCACCTAGTGGCCGCAGGACGTCGGATTACCCTGCAGTCAAATTGGTCGCGTCGCTATCAGCTGTGGCTCGTACAGACCAATGTGTGATTATCGATGGACTTGAAGCACTTGTGTCGATTGTGGTCATTGCCTGTTGCATGCTCGCATCCCGCTCACTGTTGATGTTTAGGCGAGGTGGTCGGATTGGAAAGTGTTTACTCGTCGATTGTCCTCAGCCGGAGGGCAACAGCGCTATCTGAGGAGGTGGAGGAAGAGAATGCGAATTGGAATGACCTCCACTGCGTTTCACTTTGATGCCTGCGTACGCGACGCGTATGACGATTGTTCACACTCACACGTGTGGGTTGTGATTTCGTGGACACGTGGGAATCGTGAGCTATTTGCGTGTGTGTGATTGAGTGAGTTTGCCTGCATTTGATGTGGTTGTGTGGGTGACTGACGGGTGTGTTGGTTTTGCGTTCAGTGCACTGGTCATGAATGTGTTGGTAGGTGGATGTGTGATTTGGTGGTCCCATGTGTTCGTTGCGATGTGTTGATATGCACCCTTGTGTAGATCTCGGTGGTCGCCGTATCATTAAAAAACAAGGTAGGTGTGCGACATGGATTGTGGGATGTGGCTTCCAAATGCATCCTGGATTGTTTGATCTTGGATTGGATTCTTGGCACCTCAGACATGAGACCGTTTCCAATTACTTCCATCTGTGTGTGTGTGTGTGACATCCGCAAGTGTTTGTTCCGAATAGTTGTGATGCTGCGCTTGCGAGCCGGATGTATGTACTAGTAGACCATTGTGCCTAGTGTGTTTTGGTTAGTGTCTCTGGGCGGATGTTGTTTGCAATTTGGCCTGATGTGTGTCGATGTGATTTGATTGTGTTGCAGCTGCTTTTCGTTTGTGTTCTCTGGTGTCGATGTTACTGCCTTTCTCTTGCATCATATTGTCATATGTATGTGTGCTCGTTTGTTTGATTGACTGTTCAAGCGATGTGTTGAATGTTTGTGTGTTCGCTGGATGTCGTTGCAGATGTGTGGTGCTTTGCAGCGGACGCTTTTGCACTGTGGTCGTTGCGTGTGATATTTTGCGGACATACTGTTGATTTTGTGCATGTGGATACATTGATGTCGTGTGTGTGTGGTTGAGTTGGATGTCGTCGCATGCACGTCATGTGTGCGACGTGCTCTGAATGTCATCCTAGATGAACGGAAGCATACGAAGTACAAACTGAGTCATTGTTGATTTGAGTTACAGGGCGTATGCGACATGGATGTACTAATGTCCGTGCACTTCGTGTGTTGTGTGTGTGCATCTCGAAGTTCCCTCGCGTTGTACCTACGTGTGGGCTCCAGAGTGATGCCAAATAAACAGTGCATGTGGTACGTCTGATACGTCGCTGTTCGCGTCGTTGAGCTGGTGCATGCGTCATAGATTCGTTGTCTGTGAGTAGAGCTTGTGCCTGTTACTTCGAGCCCGTATATGCTTCGGATGGTGTTGTTGGTGGAGTGTCTGTTTGTGTGGCGTGCGGCGTCGTTGGTGTTGTTGCATTGTGTTGGTGTTCATGAGGAGACTTGACGTTGATGTGTTGTGATGGTTAGGATGTTTGCGTTCTCCGTTGAGGTATGCTAGTTGGCTTTCTCCAAGTGCCTTCAGGGCGACCGATGTTCATGCATTGGATATTCTGCTCAGTGTCAGCATCCTCGTGTGATGCGGATAGACCTATCCCGATGGAATTTTGCAATGGGAGGCGTCGTTTGCTTGTTAGAAGCTGAGCAGGGTGGTTATTGCAAGGCTCGGTATTCACTACTGGTCTGTGACAATAAAGGAGCACAACTATAGCCGGTTGCTTTATTACCGCTGGCGTGGATGTGGTGTTTGTGTTTGTTGCGGAAGTCACCATTCGGCCAGCACTCAGGTGATACGGTTGGCTGTGATCCTGAATGATATTTTGTGTCGATCGGAGAAGCTGCACACGTGGTTCCGAGTGTTCCAAGGCTGCGTGTATCTGTCTCCAAGTAAGTCACAGTGGGACTGTGAAGTCAGACTTGTGAGGAGGTGTAACTGCTCTCCACTGCGTTGTGTGTGTGACTGTTGGGTTGAATGCTAAAGGTGGGTGTCGTCGAACCAAATCCATCTCTGAGAATGGGTAACTGGAGAGCCTGATCTGTCTGCACGCACTCGTGAGAATTTTGTCCATTTATTTCATTCCTCTGGAAGTTTGTTCTTGTGTTCGGCGGCAGTAGATGACTTCTGACATGAGGAGCCACGGCGTAGAGGAGTCCGAGTCGTCTTTTGACGCTTTGGTATCATTGCTCGTTGGATCTTTCAACGTCCACACACTGTTGCCGATCGGCATACTTTTTTATTTTTTGCTGTTGCACGTAGTTCTCTCCATTGGTAGTTTTTGCTCTTTTCCTTTGTTCTTATCTTGCTCGTTTTCTTATTTCTTGTTTTTCGTTTACTCCCTTATCTTTTATGTTAATTCTTTTTGGGGTTTTTGTTCAGATTTTTCTCTTTTCTCACGGTTTCGTGTTTTCGGTTTTTTTCTATTTTCACCTCTTGTTATGCTTTTTTGTTTGCTGTCTTTTTTGTGTTTTCCTCGGGTTCTCTTGTGTGGTTTTTACGTATGGATGTTTTGTTTTTAAATATTTTTTGTGGTTTGCATTGTGCCTTGTCCCGTTTTTGCTGTTTTTTACTTTTCCCATTATTTATTTTGAGTTGCTTCTGGTGCGATCTGCGTTGCATCCTTTTGCACACTTTTTGATTTTGTCTTTTATGTTTTTTTCTTATCGTGGGGGTATTTTTGGACGTGTTCCAGCCGTCTTGTGTTTCGTTTTGTAGTTTTATATCCCATTGTTCTGTACGCGGCTGTTTTTTGTTCGTTAGTCGCGTTTTTTAATGCACTGTTTTTACAGCTTTATTCTCAAGGTATTTCTCCTAATTTTTGTTGGTTTTCTTTCCGCATTATCCTTAGTTTACGCGCGCAGGGCAACTCAGCTTCGATACTTTTTGCTGCTGTTTACGCTTTCTATATTTCTCCTCCTCGTTTTCTTTTATTCAGGTCCCTTGCCGAACTCTTTATCTGCCACAAAGAACTCCGTTGACTTGGATCCAAATCGTTTGGATATACGAGTTGGGCGCATCCTCTCTGCGGTTAAGGTGATTTCTTGTTGCAACTCGCTTCTTAGCATTATGAATTTGTAGTATTGTTTTTTGTGAATTCACTAGTGCATCATTTGGCGTGTATCCAAGCTAACTACTTGCGCCTCTTCTCTTCTTTGTGATCTTTTTTGTTTTCCAGTTCTCTTCTACCGATAAACCACTGAGTTGTTTTTGCAATTTTGCGGTTGGACCAATATGCATTGGCGTGTATGTGCTACTGGCGTACCAGCGTTAACCGGTGGCACTGAAGTTGCGGTGTGCTGATACAGATCCGGGCTTCTATCTCATCCGTTAATAGTTCTAATCGCACTTTACACGGAAGACATTGCGATGTAATTGTCAAACATGATGAAATATTAATCCCCGCGGAATGATGCATGTCCATGGAGACTTTCGGCTTTTTCTCTCTTATTTGCAGCCTAAGATCTGCGCCAAAACTCGTGCCCGTTATGCAGTCGATACGAGAATCGATTAATGTATTTATGTTTTAATCGCGCCTATAGGGTCTTCTTAAAACTATTTTGGACAAGGGCTCAGTTGCTACGAAGTATCGCACACAAACCAGTCCTATGATGCAGTCTGACGCTGCTCTGATTTGCGCTGTTTTACATATTGCTGATATGATTTCGGCATTCATCGACTTGTTTGTCTACCTATCAGACTATTGTTGACTAACGGGCTTGCGGAAGAGCCTTGTCGAGACCTCGTCTCACACGAAACACCACATGCACGCATGTGTCGTCATGAAGACAGGACTCATCTGAGCACCTCACAAACTTCATTTAGAATTGCCCACAGTATGGTTGCCTTGTGACACACTACCCCCAGTAGGATTATGAGGTATTGCGAAGCGAATCACACTCATTTCGACCGCCAGGTCCCAGTCGATTTGGTGGCATTTTTTAGCATTTTTTCTTCTTTTCACCATGCTTTATATCTACCTTTACCTCTTCAGTAAGGGATGGCGATTGTGTACATTAGACCTGTTGTAACGCTTGCTTCTTTCTCTCTGCTGCTGACAACTGTTGTACTGCTGCTTTGCTGCCCTGTAAGACTGCGACTCTGACTGCTCGGTCACGCGCCCAGCTAACCGAAGGAATACAAAGGCCAGAACTCGGTAAACAGAGAGAATATATCTACAGGATAGATTAACTCTATTTATTGGTAACGAAACATGCTAATTTAGGAGGTCAACGTCACTCACTCTTCTGCGTCTGGTTTTCAGCCAGTGTGAGTGAATTCCGCTCCACGGGTTTATCATATTGACAGAATAGTTCGATTTCTTGGGCGCGGGCTAGTATTTGCTGGTCGATCAATTCTCACTCAATTCCCAAATTCAGCGGAAATGTCAAAGGTCGTAGCACGCCCGTGCTAATGACCTTTGCATGTAGCGGACATACTACATGCTCCGCTTACGCCTCTATTAAGGCCCATCACCTCTTGGCTGTCGATTATTAGGCTACCCACTAGGCTCATCTTGTGTATGACAGCCGGCCAGTGGCCAAACGGATCACACCTTTGTCTTACAATCTGAAGGCCGCGGGTTTGTGCTTGTATACGGGGACCAGACCACTTTGGCAGTATTCTTAGCCAACTCGCGACTGTTAGTGGTCGCGTAGCAACGAAGCTTGGGTACGGCATATTGATGATGCCTTTTTCTATGTGGATTGCGGTGAGCATAGATTTCTCCCAGTTCCCTTGGTTTAACTCGCCAATGGTACGCTTTTCCTATACTTACCGTTTTACTCATGAATGACATCCGCGCAAGTGGAACTCATGGACATCGTTCTCATAACCGACCATGAGCCAGTTGCTGGTATCCTAGATCGGCGTTTGATTGCTCGTCGGAATCGAATCAATCTAAGTTAGATTGATTTCCGTCTTTGCTGAAAGTGCACTTATCCACTATTGATCGTGCACCGGACTAACATTACACATGCACAAGACCCGCCTTGCACATCACTCTCTTTTGAGCCCTCAACCCTTCCCTTGGACCTTTTATGCTCATTTTTAGTTATAGATTTAGTTCTCTTTAGTGTTTTGGAAGCGTATTGATGCATGCATTTAGTTTTGTAATCCACGGGTCACCGATTCGAGTATGCGTAGGTGCGAGCAATCTCTCAGTGTGCGTGTGACCGGTCAGGTTTGCGTGGCAACAGAGTCTCGGTGCAACTTCCCAGCATATTGCTTATACCTTTGAAAATGATGCTAGTTTTTTAGTTTTCTATTAACGCGGTCTTGGGGATCATCACCGCCGGACTACTCCATCGATGCTTTTCCCGGTCTCATCTTCTGACATCTAGGGTTTGCTGTCATTGTAGAACCACTGTTGTTACTGTGAACTACTTGTCCCATTTTTGGTGAGGTTTTTGCTTTTCCTTTTTCCACCTCTTCGATTTTCTCGAAGTGTGTACCTATTCGCTGTTACACAGCCACTTGAGAGAAGACAACTGCATCCACCGAACTCAGCTGATCGTAGCACAGTTTAATAACTCGGTTGTACAAACCGACTTAGTTACAAACTATTTCATCTTCCTATAACACAAAAGCTATATCAGTCAGGTATGTGTCCACTCTGGAACCTTGTGTACTACTCCTATTGAGTAGGTGTCGTAAAATTATTCATACGAATCTGATTTTGGCCAATTGAGATCAGCTCGCTGTGCTCGGTGAATGGCAACGTCGACTCTTCGTTTGGCAGCCTTGTTGCACTTCGCCTCACTTCACATAACTACCCAAATCAGAATTGTGTGTACCGCACTGCGAGATTGCCACAACAGGCAATAAATGCCAGTCGCCAAATTCTCCAGTGTTTTTAGGCACATGGTTCGTGGAGAGTGGCTGCGCTGCCCAGACAGCTATGGTACTCGGTTGGAAGTCATTAGTCCACTTGTTCTCATCTCAGCCGATCTGTGTGGTTCCTAAGCGGATGCAAACCACAGGTAAGCGTGTAGGGAGCTAGCGGTGGGTTAGAACCACGCAGTGTAATGTTACCGCACACTAAATGCGCTTGCGCTAACTGCCTTTCAAAGATATGTACAATAAGGGTGGGATACTTTTACCATTTTCTTCCATTCTTCTTGCTCCAATGTTTTGACTTGGTTGCGCCAATACAGTTCGCCACTTTCGGGTACTGTCGGCCTCCTAGCCTAGAGGTAACGAGCTTGTCTCGTAATCTCGCGGCGCGGGTTCGAATCCGCCTAGGGCTGGGTGTCCTCGCTGTATACTCAGCCTGTGTGAGACTGGTGGTGGTCACACGGCAGCGAAACGCCTTTACGGCGTACAGCTGACACATCATTATTTATTATGACTTTCAGGTACTTCGAATGGTCTACCTGTGTAATCAACCTCCGGCTCTTCTTCTCGTGTATGTCTCGACTATTGCAACGGCTGAGATGTACACGCTCATCCGACCCACATGGATCTGGAGCAGTGTTACAAACGTTAGTCAAAATGTTATCTCGTAACAAAGTTTTGCATCGGCTTTCTTTTTTTCTCCCCCCTCCCCTCCACACACTGATACAGCACCCAGATGCAGACAGCCTGTATGTGGAGCGAGTAGACTTCGGACCCGAATTTGGACAGCGCACGGTGGTCAGCGGATTGTCCGGCTTGTATCCCCTGGAATGGCTTCAGGGTCGACGCAGCGTTTTCATTGTCAATCTGAAGCCAATTCGCATGAGGGGCGTGGAATCACAGGTAATTGACGCATCCGATTTGCAGGATATTTGTAAGGGTCCGATTTTCCCTCCTGTACCAGATCTATGATTCATATGCCCACATCTTTTCTGAATGCATCGATTCTATGGGCAAATTGGACTGAGTGTACAACAATACCATTATTACTGCAAAATGCTATCCATTTGCATAGTCAACTGTATTTTCAGTATAGTCATACACTGATGACGGCAATTGTACTGGGTATGCATTTGCTGTTTGTGGTGTATCCACTTTTAGGCAATCAGGAGAATGTCGGTTCGCTTCTGATGTCTTCCGGCCAGAGCTGTACGACTTGCACACGGACATCCACCGAGTTACACCTCGCCCAAAATCACACGATAAAGTGGCGGTCTCTGCGTCACAAATATGACTTTAATTTACTACAGAGCACACACCATTAACTATCGGTCTGCTATCAATCAGAGATCGGTCCCCAAGCGAGGGGAATCGCCTCCCTGTTTTTCTGTACCTTGTGAATTTAGTTGAGCTGAAGGTTCAGTTCAGTTGACCAATTATGACTCGAGCACCTCGAAGTACGTTGAGTCTAGTTGCCACGATATGTCACCATAGAGACGCTTAGAAAAATCGGATGAATGCAAACAAAAACAAAGAAAATGGAATCGGACCAGTAAAGTACATAACCAATCGGGATGGAATGGCAATTAACAGCTAATTACGAGAAGCTAACTGTGCAACTGCGCCACAACTGAAAGCGTTTCCAACCGGGACTCCCGTCCGGAAACTCGGCATACATCAGCCTGACCAAGTTTCTATCGATTTCTTCCTGCCTCCTCTACGCTGCATGATGGATTGACCACCTCGCGGTTTCACCAAACTTGGTGCAGCCACAGTGTATAATGCATGCCGAGGAAGGCGGTCAACGGGCATACGAATGACATGGTCTATCCCGTACGTAAGTGATTATGACTCAACAAACACTCGAGTGAGGCACAAGAAGGATCCTTGCGAAAAACCAACTGGAGGACCTCAGCACTGCTCGTCCGGCATTCACACCAGACTTGAGCAATACTCCGCAAGCACCGGTGGTCAAACATGGCCAAGCGTTTAATCTCTTCGTCGCGAACTGGCCAGGTCTCTCTGATCCATACAGTAACATAGGCCATACCGCAGCGTTATATACCTTACATTTCAGTGACAGGCTGATATCCCACTGTCTTCATAGATGGTTGAGTCTCTGGAAAGTTACACGCGCATAGCTGATACGTGAATTAACCTCCCCAGTGATGTGACCACCAGAGGTGACCCAACTACCAAGATAAGTAAACCGATTCATCAGTTCTAGTGGCTGTTTGCTAATATCTACATCCGCTAACTTATCGGTCTGCTACTGCAGCTACATTTTGAAGGTGCAAACACATACGGAAGTGTGTAGCGCTGCACGTCCCTCTGTTCAGCAGTACTTGCATAGCCACTGCGTCAAGTTCAAGAAGAGCAATGTTGTCCACAAACCTAAGGTTTGTCAGTCGGTCACCTGCAGAACTTCCACTCCTTAAGTATCTGAAAGTACCGAGTCATTCGTGATCACTTCGATCACAAAGTTGTAGAGGAACGGGTATAAGACAACTTTGACCAATCCCACTTGTTGTGGGGTACTCAGGAGACCGCTTCCTTAAACCCTTATCTGGCCTCGCGAGTCACAGTAGAGGGACTTCAGAGTGGCACGAAGCTTACTTGACACGCCTTGCACAGATAGGCAGTGTCACAACCTGGTGCGATCAACAGAGTCGAGGGCATCTTTCAGGTAAAGGAAAACCACCATAGTTGATCGTTTGTAACTGACTGTGTTTTAACACTTGGCGAACAGTGACTATGTGGCCGATGCAACCACGTCCGGAGCGGAAGCGAGCCTGGCTTTCAGTGATTAGACTTACACGGGGATCAGTAAGTCGTCGAAGAATGATACTCGTGCGACGTTGGAGGCAATAGAAAGTAGGCTAATACCTCGATGATTTTCGCACAAAGTGTGCTGACTCCTGTTGAAAATGGACGTGACAGTTAACAGTCGCCAGTCTAAAAACACCTCTTCCGTGTCCCAAATCGTGTTAAATAGATCAAGCAGCAAGCCCAGTCAACAATGAGTCATCTCCGTCTTTCAGCAAAGATGGAGAAAGTTCGTCGCATCCAGGAGCTTCGTTTCGTTTCAACATGGCAAGATCATGTAGTATCTCTTCCAAAGGGGGATTTGTGACATCCATATCCTACTGCTCTTCCAAATGTTCCGCCCAACGGGCTAGTTGACGGTGCTAAGAATGGATCAATCGTCATTCTTTATTAGCTATTGTCTCACTACCGGATGGCTTTCTCTGCTCTGGATTCTGGATGAGCTGGAATAGCACTGACTTGCTCCACCTCACGGACCCTTGCCACTCACCAGCATTCTCGTTCGTGCAAATGTCACATCACTGAGAAGATTGCTCAACGCATCAGCAAAGTTTGAGTGACTTTTCACAAACGCTATGACGAATAGCGACGGTGAGATATCAGTTTGACAGTCAGGGATGAGAATAATAACGTTGCGATAAGGTTAGTGTTATTGCACGGATCCGAAACCGGGTCATTTCACGCCGTATAAATGGGGAAGTTGACCATCTTCGAACATCGGTCTTTGCGGAGTGCTGCTCACTTTTTTGGTGGGAATATCAGGTGAGCAATTGTCTTTTCGTGTAACAAGAAACCTTTTGGTTACTCATTGGTGGGCCTGTTGCACTTGATCGTTGACCGCCATTCTGGACCTGCAACCATCTGAGTGTCCAGTCGATGACATGACATAAAGGTATGACCGATAGATTTATTTCGTTCATTGCAATCCAGATAGGTCAACTACACATCCAGAAAGACACCAGACGATCATTTCACTCTCTTACGTCTCGCCGTTTCTGCGCTATCTGTTCTCTTCAGGGAACCCCGAACTCATGACCACTGGTGGCTTAAAGTACTAGCCAGCATCTTATGCCACTGAGCCATGGAGGACGATAGCTGACCATTATGTATTGTACTCTAATTGTGTTTTAACCCGACCCATCGATCAGGCTGGTGTGTATCGTTTTCGTGAATGGGGTCTCGGTATGGACCGCGTAATCGGTTAGAGACTCTATGAGACATTGCGCAGTCAGTCCGCTCCTGCATTCGATTTCTTGCATCTAGTTGTTCACATTCACTGCATCGCGATCAGTTTTACGCACTTTTTTCTTGATTTCTTTTTCCTCACATTCTACTTGTATTCAACTTCATTTTCTTACCTACTGTATATTATCGATATAAGGCTGTCCATGGATAGACCGACTGTATGATTTTGCAGTATCAAATTTGTCCCAAGTCATAAGTCACTATATTAGCCGACCCCGCAAATTCTACCGGTAAGTGTATATTTGTTATGTATTTTCCATGTTATTGAATATGTGATGGTGTTTGACTCTGTAGTATATTCCCGTATGTATCTGTTACTGTCATCCGTCGCGAACGTCAAATGTGCAATATACAGCGAATTTTCGCCACAAGAATAATGTGTATAGTTATAGGCACGCTGCCCGCAGTGCTGTGTGGACACCGTACGAAAAAAATGAGGTACTTCAAATCCCCGTCCGTCACTAGCAGCTGGTGCTAAGGGGCAAAGGTGTGCAGTGAATTCCTGGATGGATTTACTCGTGAGTTTCTTGCAAATTGCTTCGTATTATTGACTACCATCCTAGTGGCGTGAGTTGTGGCAACTGGGTCTACCGCGTTTCGGTGTCTAACCAACTAAGCAGTGCTCCTTTGTGGGAAATGTTTCAGGTCATTCTGTCTGTATGACCAATACGGTAACAGTAGTTCGTTCTCATGACACCTAAAGGCACCCCTTTAATCGACTCACTGGATTTGGATCGGTTCGTAAACCGTCTCACTACGTTACTAGTCAATCTCTCCGTGGCAGTGCCGCTTCTTCTCCGAGGACACGGTAATAGTCAAGTGGTCTCACGAAAAGTCGAGCACGCTAGCATATGCTCGGGAGTTTGATGTTCGGTGGGATTCCCTGAACATCGGTTCCGATTCCATTTGCCTTCATTTTTTGTGTAGTAGTCCTTCCTTGGGTCCAGGAAATTCCTTATCACTACCTTTGTTCTTCTTGCTAATATTTGCCTTTCGACTATCACAGATTCACGTACTGGAATATGAATTAACCAAGTTTGACTGTGTTTATATTGAAATTTACTGATTCTGACTAGATCGCAGCTCTTTTCTCTCTTCTCCACTTTTTCATGGGTTTCACCATGTTGCACGACCCATTGCTCGCTATCATCCAAATACCTGCCTCTTATCCTACCCAATTATCTTTGGCTTTCATCTGATGCAGTCTGCAGTATAAAACAGGATCTTGCAGTTTTCTCAATGAGCCCACCCTATTTCTAGTATCATTCTTTCGGTCCACGAAGAACTCGAGTCGCAACTCTGCCACTCGTTTGTTGTCTCAATTACCAACCTTGGTTGTACTCTTGTCATTTTAATCTCGAGTGTCATTCATAGCATCGCGTTTACGTGCTACATGGTCTCTCTCATTTCAGGCCATGTTGCTTTGTGCTTCGCATGAATCTACACCTCCGAATGGTCCACGTCTCATCCGACCCTTGGAAGTGCCGTCAAATGCAGCCACCCCCCTCGGCACACGTCTGGTATTTCATTCTCGCACTAGCGATAGTCACATCGTTGATCCTGATCCCGTAATCAATCCGAAGACCCATCTATGGGAGCGTCTCCAACCAGATTTGAACGTTTCCCCTGACGACCGGCGCATTCGGTGGAAAGATTGGCCACTGGGTGACAAATCAGCCACACATTGGGCTCATGCGTCTGAAGATTTGCCCAGTGGAGCATCTGTGTCTTAGGGGACTATCGGTTATCATACTATTCCCACCTCTTCTACCTCGTGTTTATGTTGCATCTCTATTGCTCATATTATAGATTTCTGCCGATATGTATCGCCGGTCAGTGCAATGCTGTCCGCATACAACCCGCCTCCCCCCCCCCAGTTTTGTGCGCTACTTTCATGCTGTTCTTTATTTAAAAATAAATATATTTCATGACTTGAGAATTATTGTCCATGTGTTCCGCGTTCTCCTTTGAATTCTGAGGCCGGAAATGCAAGCAACCCACCCAATTTGATTCAGACACAGTCGCATAATAAACGTATCGGTTTTGTATGTGTTTATTATCAGTATCCCAGGGAAATTCCACAGGACGAAGGCGAAGCGGAAGTCGAGGCAGTACAGCTCATTGGCCATCCGTGTTCTGCTGTGTTCAGGGGTTCCTCGTGAAAGTCAAATGTGCTATCATATGCGTGGTTCACTGTTGTGGGTGCCGGCCAGTTGCGATTGAAGCTTGCTCCCCTGTGTGATATTTGATCCACATTCAGTCCAATGTGAACCTGTAAAGTTGATAAATAACTGTAGACTTGGATTGTGTAATGCTCATAAAGTACCCAAGTAGGCCAGGCATGTCAACCTGAGGACCGCATGAGTCATATTGGTATTGTCATGAGGTCCGCACATCACAACTTCTCTGAGTCCTTTATCAGATGGCGATATGTATCTTACATGATTATTGCACACTATTTTTATTACCTCAACCTGATCGCACGTGCATAAAAATTAGTCCACTGGAAAAGCAAAGAATTTGTTTAACGAGAGCAAACTACGAACTTCTAAGCGACAGCCTAGGCTTGTATGCGCATTAATAACTCACGGGTTATACAAGATTGACAACAGTTCAAAATGAATATTTATTCAAGTTAGCGCAATAATTTGCGGTGCTTTGTTCAGGGACTTTGACTCCATTCAGTGACACTGGTTAGCATTTCTGACTGAGATGTTTTGATTAGGCGACCTCCGATTGGTTCTTTTCTGAATACGTTAACAAGGTTCTTTCTTATTGGATTTCTTCGTGCATTGGAATTATTTCGTAGAAATTACGATACCACTCAGTTTCATCTCTTATTCTGAACTTTTCGACCATATATACTTGTGCCATTATGTTTAATTTCGGGGATTTTGTTATCGTCCTACATTTGCCATCTTGGTCTCGGATTCTTCATACTACCGAAACAATCAGGTTGCGGCGTCTGTTCCAAAATTGTCGCAAATCGACCATATTCGCTCACATATTTATATGTCACGTTACATTCTAAATTTCATGCATTTTACTACCGATCGCACATTTTGGCGTTTTTGTGAAATCCAACATGGTTGCATTCAAATGATGTATAAGAATTGCCGAAACGATTTACAGCCGGAGAAAGTAGAGCAGAATTGCAAGTCGCCTTGTATGGTGATTCATTCCGTTACCTGAAGTGCCTCCTGGTTTCATATAAGTTTTCCTCTTCGTCCCGTGCAAACTCGCTGGCATAAAATCCCGACGCTGCAGGCAGTCCAGTTTCACTTGGCACCAATCTTTTATCTGTTTTGTATCCTAATTACACAAATGCCTCGGTATGTGAAAGTCTGTGTACTGAAGACACATTTAAAGCACAATGAAAGAGAACGCAGAAGAATGAAAATAGTTCAGATGGATGAATCATCAGCGCTTCGCTGCCACGCGACCACCCAGTCGTGCGTGGGCTGAGTCTACCGCGAGGACCCCCGCTTCTACACGGATTCGAACCGGTGACCTTATGATTGCAAGTCAGGCGTGCAGACTACTTGGCCACCGGCCGACATGAAAATAGTTCAGCCTCTGCAAATCAGCGATGGGGCAAATCATTTGATGCTCAGGCAAATCTTCGCTCCGCACAATCAACCTTGGCCGATCAGCAGAGTTGTAACCTTTTGATCTTCCACGCATCTGAGTCCAGCGATCCAGCTTTCTAGTTGCGCTACGGTCACGGCGTTGTTTTTACACAGCATAATGGATAGGCTCCTCGACTTGGGTTTAAATGGATTGAAAGTGAAGAAAGGAAAGATGATCAACAAGGTCGACTAATGCAAATGCCTTTTGTGGATAAAGTCATTCTGCGGCTGCTCTTGCCACGCCTACGTAGGCTGAAAGGTTTGAAGATCTACGTTCATCCAGACCTGAATCCGGTGGGTTGAGAACGGTTCAATTCTGCCATCATTGAGCTGAAGAGCCGGAATAACGATAGGGTAACAAATCTCCTTATCAGAACTTTTCGGGTCGTTTCCCTGAATCCACGAAGCACGATAAACAACTTGCTTACCCTTCAGGGGTTCTGCTGCGGCCTGCATGTACTCTTTGTCGTCTTGTGAACATGCGAGATGAACTCTGTCGTGGAACTCGCAGAGACTTGACTGAATTCTGAGCTGCTTGCCCTGGAAATCGAGCTCAGTGGTTATGCGTGCTTCTGCTGCGACAGACTATCGACTGCCCCCGATGGCGTTTTGCCCTACATCCGATTTTCCCTATGTGGAAACTTGTGAGCATTTCCAGAAGCGACAATGGCTGGTGTGAGTAGCTGCGATGCTCGATCCACCTTTCAGACTCAGAGAGCTGCTCGTAGGTGCAGTTTATCGCATTCCCCTAAGCTTTTGTTTGGATTTTCTGCCGCATTTCTGATGCCACATGGGTCGTCCCCATTTTCTACTCATGGGTGCTTTCATTAGTCTCCGAGTACACTGACCTGACGTCCAACTCATACTCGGACATTGTGTGGTCGAAGCAAAGTTCGTGGACTTAGTACTTGAAAATGGAGCAGCGCAATGCAAATGCCAGCGGACACGAAAAACACTTCGCTCAACTCCTTTGTGCCTAGACTTGTTGGTAACAAGCTGTGAACAACATTTGTATGACGTTCGGATCCTGGAGCCCCTGGCAGCAAGTGACCACTCAGGGCTCATAGCCAGCATGGATCTACCTTTACTGTAGTCCCGTTCGCTGGAGTCGCCTTAGGACTACTGGAAAACTAACTTCGATGGTCTAACTCAGGCCACAAGCCAAATGGATTGGTCTATGCCGCAAGTTACAACTGGAAGACTTTTGGACTCTTATTGGAAAGACAATGACATTACTATGTTTTCGGTTTGTACCGCTGAAGTGTCGTAAAGTTGGATCAGTCAAGCCGACAAGGAGTATGTCAAAATGTCTCAGCGGCGGCGCAAATTGTGGGGCGAATTCCTCCTCCCCGGCTCTTCCTATAACCACGAGGCGCATAAGAGGCAGCGAAACATTTGCAACAGTGCAAATGCGAGCAAGCGCCGGCATTTCGAAGAACCGCTCGCAACTGCCATGAAGTCGCCACGAAGAGAATCTGCTTTCGTGAAGCGACCTACCAGTGCCAGTTGGCTCGGACGGACAACCCCTATCCTCCAGCACGAAGCGTGCGTCTGCATTGGCGACGCATTTCACTCTCGTGTTTGTAAATGTCCTTGTGTCTGTACCGGGTTCTACGTGCCTTGCCCTCACTGAACCTGACAGTCTGCTTTGCGGTGATGAAGAGACGCATCAACTGCTCATCAAACTTGACGACACCAAACCTTTCGGCCTTGAACGGACTCATCCATTGTTTCTCATTTTCATATCGGTCATCATCTCTCCTGCGGTGACTGACTTGTTCAGCAGATCACTGTCTAGAGGTTCCTTGCCGAGAGACTGGAAATAACCAGTGGTAAAGCCGATTCCGAAAGGTTGTTACCCCAGCAAAGTGGACAATTTCAGGCCGATTTGTGTGATTCCTATTTGTCCAAGGTTACTGAGAAGATCGTGAAGGAGGGTGCACTACAGCTGCTCCAATCAAGCAATTTATTGACACCTCACAGCATAGTTTTATGCTAGGCCGTCCGTGCATTACCAACCTTCGAGTTATGAATGGATGCAGGCAGTGAACAAGGGGAAGGCTGTCGACGTGATCTACATCGATTTCAGCAAAACGTTCGACATTGCAAGCAGTGAGGTCCGCCTCCACAAGCTGAGAGTGTGCGGTGTTGGTGGATCACTGCATGAATGAATCCAGGACTTTATCGTTGGGTAGAAGTGAAGGGTAGAACTGGACGGCGATCTAACTGACTGGTATCCCTATACTAGTGGCGCACCCCAAGGCACCGTGCTGGGGCCTACTGTTCCTAGTCTACATCAACGATCTCCCTCAGCTAGTTCACCCACCACGTGCCCTGTTTGCGGACAACCTATAGATTTGAGGAGTGATTAGCACCCGAGACCACTGCGGCTTACTTCAACCGCCTCTTCATGTGGTCTGCGGAAGTCCGGCTCCGGATCAACCCAAGCGATTCGCTATTTACGAGCCTGGGCAGTAACAGCCGAATTTACACCATTGACGGGAGCCACGTTTCATCAACGAAGCCGGCCCACACTCCTTCACAGGCAAACACAAGCACGCTGTATTTGGGAATCAAGTGCACACAAGACGGTGGCTGGACCGTAGTCCGCTCCACACTGAGTGCATGGAACCACTATTTGTCCCTAACACGGCCACAAAGACCGTGAACCCCGTCCCCTCCAGCAACGACCAACTGTCTCCTAGAGCCAGTATGGACGAGGTAGTGGGTAATGGACAGGTAGGGACCTTGTCAACATGCACCTCAAGCGCAGCCACACCGGGAATATCAATCCGCAGCCAATCACTTGAGAGAAACCTAACAAAGAAAATAAATCGAGTAATGCATATGAAATCGGTGACACAAATCTTAAATTAATGAGCATATGAAATAAGTTGTCAACAAAGCATCCGAGAAAAGTTCAGATGGTCAGAAAGTACATTTTACGGAAATGACAAACACGAAAATATTATCGAAATAACTACAAGTGGCTTAAGCGACTTGTGCAAGTGTATAGAAGAACGTACAGGTGGACTTTTACTTGAGAAAAAAAGCATTTGGACAAAGTAGAAAACCCACCACCTGAGATAAATAGACTTAGCATGCAAGCACGCGGTTAGGAAATCGAATGCAGCGTACCTACAAACGCTGCGCTGGTTCTGTCTACGTTCTCTGCAGGACCCGTCGTCGCTTCGGTAGTGGTCCCGATTGGCCTCACTCTTGGCTCACTAATCCTGGCTGACTATGCCGAAATACAAGGGTGGAAACCGCCAGGATCCGGCGAACTATCGGTCAATTTGCTTGACGTCGGTACCCTGTAAGATCATGGGAAAGCTCATTAAATGTCCAACTCACCGACACTGCGAGGATCTACTCAGCATGGCTTCCGAAAGGGATGTTCCTGCAACACTAACCTGCTGGCCACAAGAGAGAAGTGGTCTAAGTCAATGGACGCTGGAAAACGTTTAGATGTGGTCTTCATCGACTTCAGCAAAGCTGTTGACAGAATCCCTCATCAAGAACTACTCTGTAAGCTCTGCGGAAGTGACATAACAGGGAACCTCCTACTATGGATCAGGGACTTCTTGCAAGGCCGGAACATGCAAGTCAAGGTAAACGATACCCTTTCATTTCCAGTGCCTATGTCCAGTGGCGTACCACAAGGCTCTGTTTTCTGACCGGAATTGTTCAAGCTATATATCAATGACTTACCAAGTATGCTACAAACGGACTGTCTGATCTATGCACACGACCTCAAGCTATGGTCGGAAGTGTCCAGCCTTGAAGACACCGACCGATTACAGGAAACGCTTGATCTACTACACGCTTAGTCTATCAAGTGGGGTTTGCCGGTCAACAAAGATAAATGCTCTATCCTTTCCAACGGTGCTGCTGAACCACTGGGCATCTGTCACATTGGCGGGCACCTACTCAAGATTGCCACACAGGAGAAGGAACTGGGGACAACAGTATCCTCTGATCTCAAAACTACCCGTGACATTAAAGAAAACTGCAGCGAACAGGATGTGGGACGTCAGAGGAGATAATTCTCTAGAATGAGGTTGCAGATATTTAAACTTTCTTCAACTCCCACATCCATCCCATTCTTGAATTCGGACTTCCGGCCATAGCCCCTCTATCGAAGCATGAAAGTGACAAGATAGAAAAAATTCAGCAACGAGCCACGAGATTTGTCCTTGGGCTACGCGAACTCTCCTATCCTGCCAGACTACATAGGATGAACCTTTTTCCCTTAGAATATCGCCGACGTCGCGGAGACCTCATCTACACTAGGCGTATCCTACGGGGAGAATTGAGAAACGAGCTGATGCAGTTTTTCAGGTAAGACTTGGCAGGTCGACTCGACGTCACAGCTGGAAGCTGTTTAAACCGAGGTTCAAAGTCCGCTCAGATGTTGCTCTCTACGGGAGTAATTAATGACTGGAATCGATTGCCGGACCCGATTGTCAATGTGCAGTCAGAAGCGAGTTTCATACGTTTGCTAGATATCTTCCTACTGAGTAATCCAGGATCCTGCAGGACTGATACCACATCCTGAGCTATGCCACAGGTACTATGCCTGCAATCCTTGGAAGATCGAGAAGTGAAGGAGCTGACACGGGACCTCCTTCTGCTCTCTACCGCGTAATGAACTCAATGAATGATAACCAATCCAGACATAGTTATTTGGGCGCGAGCGATATTGCAATCTCAGAACATAAGGTGGGATAAAGGGGACTGACTGATTAGGACAAGTGAAATAAGTTTGCCAAAACCGATGTTCTATAACCGAACAGGAATAAGTGACCTGCGAAGAGATAAAATAAGTACTAACCTCAAGTGACCAACATTCATTTCTTTAGCGACATTAGTAAAAGACATGTATAGGATAACAGCACTTTTTCTCAGTTCGAGGAGGAAACACTCCAGAGAAAAATATTTTATGTAGTTCTCTAATAACAAAGGTTTCGGAAACCCAAATGTTTATATATATATATATATATATATATATATATATATATATATATATATATAATTATGTAGCTGTTCAGACCCAGGCTGACGGCGCATGTGAGGTGCTTTGTCTTTTCTGTCTGGCTAAACTCGACTGATTGTAGGACGTGATTGTGACATGTTAAACCTGTGTTATATGCAATGTCAGACTGTGTTTGACGTGCATGGTGACAAGGTGCCAACCTGTTGAAAACCTGCCACCTCGATAACTGAGTACAAGAGACTGCTGATCATTGCTGCGGATTGGGACGGAGTGCACGGTCCTCGTGACTGTGCTTGGCTCGCAGAGTGTTTTTATCCGGTGTGGAGCGGACTACGACCCAGTCACCGCTTTGTGTAATTCTGGTACGCATGATTCTCCACATAGATAAACAGAAATGCCACTCCTTTGTGGGTTGGCTCCTTTGATGAAAGTGACTGCCATCCACATGCCTCCCGGTCTTATTCCTCCGGGTTTACACTGGATGTGGGATGTATGTATGGATCTGTGTTGTGCAGCGCAAATCCACGATAAGTACTCCATATGCTCATTTAGCGAGTATTTATGTCGTCATATCCGTTTACTTTACTCGACATATTTATTTGATATCGTCATTTCGAGTGATTGGCTGTTGTTTGACTTCTCCGGCGTGGCTGCGCTTGAGGTGCGTGTTGACAAGGTGCCTACCTGTCTGTTACCCACTACCTCGTCCATACTGGCTCTAGGAGACAGTTGGTCGTTGCTGGAGGGGACGGGGTGCACGGTCCTTGTGGTCGTGCTAAGCTCGAAGAGTGGTTCCATGCACTCAGTGTGGAGCGGACTACGGTTCAGCCACCGCCTTGTATGCGTTTGATTCCCCAACTACAACCTGTTAGTGTTTGCCTGTGAAGGAGTGTGTGGCGGCTCCGTTGATGAAGCATGGCTCCCATCCACATGCCTCCCGGTCTTATTCCTTCGGGTTTACACTAGATATGGGGTGTGAGGTTGGAACTGTGGGTGGTGCAGCGCAAGCCACCCATGGTCCCTCTGTAGGCGCAGGCGTCCTGTGAAGGCCACAACGGCAGGTAAATCCGGAACCGGATGCCGCCAACTATGTGCAGCACAAGCCACCAATCGTCCCTCTGTAGGCGCCTGTGGTTGTCCTATGGAGGCCACAATGACAGGCTAATCCTGAACCGAATGCTACCATCCTTACGCGGATCGCCGGCTTGAGATATCTGTCTCAACTTCGTCATACCTCGTGTGATTAGTTTATCGAAGTGGATTTTACAATAGCTCGAATGCGTATATCCACCAGACTGATTTCATCTCTAAACATGCATACGATCACAGAAATTTGCCAACTTACTTGTTGGATGTGTCTTACAAAGGCAACTGCTTCACTGAATTCCATTTGGCATGTGGAACATTTCTGTTTGCATTGGGTAGGTTTACTACTGTTGAGGGGGAATTCGGCCACTGGAATAGTTCTCGCCGTTGCTGGGTGACTGTTCGACTCCCACAGATGAACTCGCCTGTGCTTTCTGATTCCAAGTCTGCGGTTACTTTCTCCATTTACTAAAAGTGTAGCCACATGTGGTTCACTGGCATCGTGCTGAACTCCATGGATGCTCGGACGTGGTTCGATTCTCGGTAACTTTGGACGCAACGAGGAGATATTCATGCCACCGCAACTCGCGTTTGTGCTTGAATTCCCTGCTGTTACACGTGGCATGGTTAGATCCAATGCTCCGTTTTGTGTGCATTCCACCGCCCATGTGTCCACTTGGAACGACTTCTAGGTGGTGTTATAAAACAGACGGTACATAGAGATAGCATTTGTCATGGAATCAGGTGTACATCTGGTTTTATTTTTTCAGTCAATTGCGCCCATATCATAATCGAATTCCCTGAAGCGGATCATGTCCATCCATAGCTAGGTGTCAAATTGCATCGAATGGGTACGAACGCCCCTAAATGCGTACTGTTCGTTGAGTGACCAATCCAAAAGCAGCGAATAGCATATCAGACGAGCACAAGGTATGGATGATTGCTAGTTGACTTGAGCACGAACTCACCTGCTGCTCGCGCGGTGCGATGCAGCTTCCTCGCGCATTGCGGAGTGCAGTGTCTAGCCACATTGAAAAGTGAAACTCAGTAACCACAGGCTAAAATGAAGCTAGCTTCACGCTAGCTGGCAAGCATGTTCGGCAAAACTCACATAGTATGGCTTTTACTTAGCAGTGTCTACGTGTAGTTGGGTGTAGGTGGTAGTTAGACATATAGTAGGTAGTGTTGCAGGTGCTTATCTCTCTACGTGAGGTTTCATATCCGCACACACTATCACTGAGCAAAATGTTGAGTACCTGTTCATCTATCGTTAGGCTCCCACATGAGTGAGGCCAAGTGACCTAGTCGATCGGCAGAATGACTTTACTGTCGCTCACGGTCCGCTGTTCAGTGTCGGCTGACGTAGAGTTTGAGCTAGTGATGCCAGAGGGGCAACGAGAGCGTGGCATGACTTGCTTGACAGAACCGCAAGATTATACTGGCCTATTGCCTTCATTACCGTTTGTTCGGTTGAGTTTACTCCTGAAGAATATTTAATATAGTTGCCTCCTCGTTACCAGTTAGCTTGCCAAAAGTACGCACTTGCCTGTTTTTGTGAACTACTCTATGTGTGTATTCTTGCCTCGTTCGTCATCATTGAATGATGCTAACAGCATATTAGGAGTTAGATAACGGTAAGTGTGACCGAGTTACCTGTTAACTACCGTTGTTTGGAAGGAGTTATCGGCCTGATTGATCAAAGGACCACTGGTTGATGCACGATGTGTCGCATTAACCTTTGCGGGAGGGCATCGTATCAGCTGTGAAACGGTTAACGAGTTAGCGACAGTTTACATTTATTGGTTTGTATGTAATTATTATTCTACTGCAGCCGTTGACAAGACGAAGGAATAATGTTGTAAAGGACTCTTGTGCGTTCGCGCGAAACGATTCAGATGAGACGATGATCAATTTCGACTTTAACGCTCTCTTCTCCAACGTGTCAAAAAGTGACGCCACTTGACATGACTAACACTGAGTTTTGTGCTTCAGCTCGATATGTGTGCTACATGCTTGGGTCGCCCACGGTTCGAACGAGGTGTCAGTCATACGAAGATTTTTTTTGTTCTCAGAGCAGTGCCGTACGTCGCATTGTGCTACCTCTTCCTGGCAGTTGCCAATTTACACATGGTGGGCAGTAGAACTATGCATAGACTTCTGATAGTTCACCGATTCGCGTCCCCAGCTTGAGGCATGTTTCACGTTAATTTGCCATGTGTTACACTCGTTTTCTTCCACAATCACATCGGGGCCTCATTCTCATCAACAGCAGTACATCTGCCATTCGAACTGATGCTTCGCTGTCGTGCAATCACAACGACCTACGGAACGAAGAATAATAAGAGGGAGTGATGCGGGACTTGCATGAAACCTTAATGCCCTAGGAAAACATTCAGGGTCAAGACGCCTACACCTTGTCAACAACATGCGATCACAAGCAGCTGACTATCGTGTAAAGATAACGTGGTATTAGTGAGATAACTTTGCGGCTTTTATTTTCCCACGTCATAATCAGTGATTACCCTGCGTATTACTTAGCACCAAACACGCTTTAAGCTCACAGTCCGACTACGAGACGGCAGCAGACACGCCACTGGTGCCGACTGCCAGCCGTGTTCTATAATGTCTTGAGCCAAGCACAGGGCTTGTCACGTGGACTCCACCCTAGAAGACGAAACTATCCAACGGCGCCGAGTTTGGTCGTCAGTGACTGTCAAGTCAACTTTTCTCCACCACGAGTCTCCCTCCATCCTGCATCTGACAAATAAAACAAGCCCTCCTCGGTAAGCGGTGACCAAGCCAACGCACCTTCAGTACTATCTGTTGTTCTAAAGAGCTAAGCTAATTACCACTTTAGCGTTCGTCTACGCACACTATCGTTGCGCACACACTGATACCATCCGACACCAGCAATGCTCCGCAGGCAGCGATGAGCAAAGACTTGAAGGCACCATGGACTAGGACGGCCCTCACTGTGGCCTTATAAACTCTGTCTTCCAAACCGAGGAAAACCCATTTCTGACTGCACATACCACAGGTTCAGGAAAGCAGTTCTAGCGTTTGCAATACTTAAACTGACTTCCGTGGTCAGGCGCCTCACTTAGCGCATTGGTTGACTCTAATCCCGTCTTCGTAATCAATGTAGCTAAAGTGAGGTCAGACACCAGCACACTGTGGTGACTAAGTTCACTAACTTGGCTACTTTCATTTGTATAATGCGGTGGCCGATATTTGCGTATACCATTACCATGAGGCTATTCATGATGAACAGACGTATTTTTTTGCTTTTGCAACTATCAAAATCATTCCTTCGAATGTCGTTTTAAGTCCACGGTTCCCGTTTCTGCATTATCGCATACCCATGCTATATGGATAGCTTTTCGTGGAAAAGTAGTGTATCGCACTTCCCAAATCGATGCATAGATTCACTTTTACGTTATTTTTCCAATGTACTGCGTTTGCGACTGCGGAGAGCCGTCAAAATGTTAACATATCGCAATTTATATCTGTTGGTGTTGACTTTTACTCATCTCACACTAATCCTAATCTGCACTTCGCTTTTTTTAATGGCTCAATGCATATAACATTAAAGTCTCGTTCCGTATTAATACAATTTCTTGTCTGGCTGCTTCAAAGCTTACGAGCACCTGTGAGTTCGGAAAGGTTGTTGTTTCAGTTCACGAGTGCGTTACTCCCGTTTTACTGCTACAAAGATTTTCTCTGAATGCAATCATCAGTGCTTAAATTCTATCCGCATTACTCCAGTCGTCTACTATAGACTGATTGAGACACTCGCATTTGTCCCTCAGTCTTGTACCCACTTTCGTTTTTGTCTTTACTCGGAGTTTCCTCGTATAGATTTACCCATCTATTGCCTCCTGTGAGTTTCGAATAAGCACAAAGTTGATTATGGAGTTTGGTGTTGAGCGCGTAAAACGACAAAACTATCCTAAACTTGGGCATGGTCCAATTGGTCGAGGATGCGGTGTTCTCCAACGTAAATCGCGGTCCAAATTTAAATTGTTAATCACGGCGCGATCCTTGCGGTAGTTTGCATACCTTAGTGACCGTTTTAGTAGCACTCTCTATATGTCTTCAGTGCTGCCCACACCAGACAAAACTTTCCAGCATCTTCCCCATCAGAGGCTGAACAGTGTTGAGGGCCGCCTCCAAAACTCACTTATGGTATATGACAACGACTGATTGTAAGTTCAACTGGAGTGATGTATATCATAAACTCTCCGGGTTATCCTCTATGCTTTGTGGATAATACCTCTATGGTTCGCTACATCCAACATCAGAACCGTCATCCCCTGGGTAGTTAGATTCGAGCCCACCAAAACTCGCCTGTGTTTGGTGCTGGTCACAGGTATTGTCAATGACATCCCCGTCCTCCTTGACCGCGTGCTTTCTGGTTGTGGTGCCCACTAAATTGTCCTATTAGTTGTTCATCACCAAACTATGTTCGAGCTAAAGCCCTCCGTCTTCTAACTCATTCGTTTGATCCTCAGCGCGCAGTGTACACCAGCTCGACCCAGAGAAATGTAATCGCAAATCCTCTGGCGCGTCCTCCTGTGGTCTGTCCAGTGCAAACGATTTGCATATTTTACACGGTGTAATGTGGCACATCTAGTGTTGCGGTCAACCACAGATGACATTCAGACGATGGTTATTTAACTTACAACGACCGATGGCGAACCAACGAGCAACATTTGCTCACTCCCATCAGCATAAACAAGTCGTGACTGACGTGCATGACACTATTCGAACCGATCTTACTACGCACAAACTTTAATCCAATATGGTCATATTCCGTGGTTTGAGTACCATTCATCGCCATCTTTTCCATGAAGGAGATGTCCATACGGAGTTCACTCGATATACAATCAGGGTGTGTGTATCGCTGAACCCTGTGAGTGACCACTGTCCAGTTATCTAAGGCACGGAGGTATGCAATTCATCGCATCACATACATAACAAACCGCCTCACACTGGATGTACATCCAGCCTTTCTCACCACTCTCGAGTCTGCTTGCCGAACTCCCAATAATACCGGATGCCTTTCGTCATCATCATATTCCTCTTCGGTTTTCAGACTAAGTAACCTCGGTCATCGACTCGCTATTCCTCACTGTGATAATCTCAAGCTTTAATTAGTACAGTCAGACTTGTCTAAGGCGACCACTCAAGGGACCGAAAAAAGCGGTCGCCTTGGACAGGTGTTTGCCATGGACAGGTTCATGCATTGGGGCATTGCTCATAAAAGAAAACCTTAGGGATGTCTGGCTTGTCGCCATAGCCGGGTGGCCACCATAGCAGGTTGGACTGTATTAGGAGGGATAGGATCAATTTCATACCGGCCACTGGCCTTCCTGTCTAACAGCACAGAGAGGCGTGTGACAACAGAGCATCTCAGTAAAGTCCAGTTACTTTGTCTGGTGCCAATAAAAGTCGTCTGAGGTTGGGTGATAAATCTCAGTGTGTTCTTACTCTATTATTCATATGGTGTACGAATGCTTGTTATGCTGGCATTCGTTGAAATGACTTTTCTGAGCCCAGTAAATTTTTCGAATTTTAGCATTCGGTTAACCTGATCGTTCCATTGTTCTAAATCCAGCTTAGCTTCGCTACTTGTTCAAGTTTGCACACATACAACGGCTACTGCATGAGGGCCGAATTCGTGTAGGGCTGAAATCGATGGATACTGGATGTATTTAAGCACTTGGGATCGTGATTTCTCCACTATTGTGTATACACCCGAGCCGTCTACTCCCATTGACAGCAGCGCGTGTTGACTCCTCTTCGCATCTGTGTGCCGGGTAAGATTATTCTTGTTTATTTGCTTGATTGTAAAGTTCACCCCTATTCAACGTAGGCCATTATAAATATTTGCCCCATATCACAAACGGAACGACGACGGCACGACTTACTCATGGGAAACCACATTATCTCAAACTAATCGTTCGAGCGCTGGCCAAATCTGCTGGTGGGACCTTAAACAACATCCGTACCGACTTTTTAGTGGTTTAGCGGCTCTAAACAATCAGAACTGGTTTTGTTGGAAGCTGAGTATGAACAAAGTTGCCGATCGCACTATGGGCCGCTGTCCTCCGAACGTAGGCCAAGTGAGACAGTGTTTAGAAAACCTGATCACTCCACGTATATTCTCTTTTTTGCGAGACACCGCTATTTGCGTGATCAATCAGTTAAACACCGATCATAACTATTGGTGATGCGCACAAAATTAGCAAAGCTGTCGTTCTATATACTTTTGTAAACACGACTGAATACTGAGAGAACGCAGCTAATAGAAATGCCTCTTTTAAGCAAATCTACCTATTATTATGGTGGTTTTTCTCGAGATCTCAAGTTAGCAATGTGTGACTTAGCTTCGACTATGTCTACAGGAAGGTTGATCTAGATATTCACTACCCTAAGCTCGAAGCAGAGATGGTGAACGACCCGCTTCAAATCCGGTTCGTCAAGCTTGTACTGTGGTCCTCGTGTGCTGCTTGATCTTCGCAGGTGAAGCAGTGGCCTCAACATGGGGAAATCACCCAATGTAATATCCCGCGCGTCATGAGGAGGTCAACCGGTCCCTGCCTCGGTTCAATCTTTGTTCATCGCCGCATGACACACCTTGTTCTTTTTACGGTTTCTATTGCTTTGGGAGACGGTGATTACACTGTTCCAGGTACTATCGACCAGGTTGCACCGACGTGGCACACGGCTCTTCATAGAGAACAGAATCGGATTGTGTTAATTTGTCATCAAAGCAGAGACAAGTGTAGCGGCCAATATTGCCATGACCAGACTAGAGGTCACTCGAATTTGAAGAGATTTTACACGGCCCGCTCTTAGCACATGACCGCTTTCGATCTGATTTGAACACTTCAGGTATCAGGAGCTGGGAATGTAACCCAGCTAACGGTTGACACTTTGCTTACTAGATTGCTGTGATACATTGGAGCTATCTCCAATCCACATAGTTCGGAGTATGGCGTTGCATCCGCGTACATTCAATTACAGCCCTTACACTAACACAGCCTGTGTGCGCTCTCTCGGTCTGGTGCACGTGTGCATCAATTTCCACATTTGTTCAATCCTATTGGTATGCATAACATCCGTATTAACATGTACTTACTGTGCTAGGTGATCTCTCTCCGCCGGCGTTTGCAATATCTGACGTTGCGTTGTATTCATCGGTCCTGTAGGGGAGAGAGGCAAACAGAACGAAATCACCAATGTGTTTAACACCATGCAGCCCCTGAAAGCGAGCTCACAACCTGAACGATCATTAGGTTGGTCAAGCGAGGGGAAGACTATGTCTAAGATGATTTTATCACGCCACCCGTGTATAGTACCTTGTCGTCCTTAGTTTTCACAACACCCGATACATTCGAATGACTGGACTGATTTTGTTTTGAATACACGTGGGTGGCACCAACAACAGCATTCTGTAGTCATGAACAGTAGGTGAGATGAGAGTTCCCCGGAGGAAAATCTCAAGCCTACTCCTCATGTAATTCTAAGTCTGAAACCTAACTTTCATCTTGTCTCCGTCACATTATCGCTCCGAGCTAACGTTTCTAGGTATCCGGACTATAACCCCGTAGCCATTAATCGCAGGTATATTGAAGGCCTGAATTTGTCCCCCAACTCATTAGGTTTTCCTAGGTTCACAAATACAACTTAATTTTTACAACCCGGTCTTAGTTGCTTACCTACTGGTATTTGGTGAATGCTATGACCAGTAGACGCACTCTCTTCTGCTCAGTTGTGCAAAGCCACCAGTCGTTGTTTAACTTCGAGCTGTAAGGATGCCTTGTGGGTAGTGTTATTTCAAGTGCACTATAGTATGTGCGAGGGACCAACCATGCACTGAGAGTCTAATAGCAAGGTCGCACACTTTACCCACTCCGCAGGAATTGTTGAAGATGTAAGTGCCGAATTAGAGATCGATCGCGTTAGCTTGTGGTGTGGCTTCAGGTCACTGTATTCAGCTGCTGACACATCGATTATAGCTATGGCAACGAGACTAGCAGATAGTGCTTACCCATGACAGTTGGTCAAACGCCAGTTACAGCAGTGGTAAAGCAACATTCAGGATCCACAATGGAGTGAATAGGCACGGTAGGAATTCCTTATAAGAGTGAACTTCAGAGGCAATTCGGAGGGAGAAGAAAAGAGGCCAACATTGCACTCAACGCTGGAAGTAAACCCTTCTCAAGGAGAAGATAACTAACATCATCTATAAACAAATGTAAGCGCTGTGTACTTGTCTACATTGGTACCACCGCGAGAGCTATGTTTGCGAATTTCAGAGCACAAAGGGTGCATTCAACGGCTATCGACCAACGAGTTTGTATACTGGGGGAAATTACCCTTGTCCATTTTGGCGGTGCGTGCGTAAGATAAGCGCCGCCAGATCGACCCGGATAATGTAGGAGGGTATACGAGCAATGTCCGAACAGTTGGGTGACGTGATCAGGTTGGTGGGGGTGGAACACTTGAATGCATGGCCAACGATTTTACGCTGAGTATTCTGACGATACTCGAATCCAGTTAGGAAGCGAAAATCGACCTCCCATTGTCATTAACAGGAGCTTATCTGTCGATGTCATTACGCACGAGGGAAATCATAGATTATCCCCACTGTAACTGAAAACATTTGAGGTGATACTCCGACCCGGGACTGTAATAACACCTTAACGCATCTCCTTTTTGTCGCCATGATCGTCCTAATTTCTTATAAAACGCCGCTGCAATGGCGTGCTGATTCACCTGCCATGAGAATATTTTAGTTTCAAAGGGGAAACGTCGCCTAACAAATACACCAACCAAGTGTTTCTTTATGAATTTACTTCCTTAGGTCGTTCACGAGTACTAGCTCGACCGAATTGTTCCCTGTGCTTGGCACTTTTGTTGCAGTTTTATCGCCAATCTCGACGATACCATCAGTGCGTTGTTGAGTAGCGCGATGAAATGTCTGCAAGAAAATTTCCAAGTTCAACGAATAGTTCGACTGCCACCAAAACAATCTGAGTTATCTATTTGCGCTTTTATTTCGAGCTAACTCGGCAGTACAACAAATCGGTCTCAATCGTCTAGTGGTGTCTTCCTCCTTTACTCTCGTCGACTATCTGAATACGGTGTGCCCGTTACTTCCATTTCTGTGAATTGCTTACAATTACTCAGTTACACAACATTAATGAGATAGGGCAAATTCCTCTCGTTTTACCATTGTGACAATGATGGGCTCTTTTCCGTTTTGATAGATTTTTCGGACATGTGGTTAAGTTGAAACTGTGTATTTCAGTGATACCCTCTGATCATACAAACTCATCTTTGTAGATCACAACTTTCTTTACATTACTAAGATAGTCAGGTAAGCGCCCACAACTTCTGAGCTTGTCTGCTCGCATTGGATAGTCACATTCGTCTTGTTGTATGCTTTAACTGCACACGGACCGCATCACCGGAATGCAGGGCCTATGAAGGCTTCATCCTTCGAGGACGACCACACTCAGTGTTGTCGCGCTATGTTTAGCATTGCCACAGCTCTCTATGGTAACAACTGATTACTGAGCGATCAGTTGTTGCTCATAAGCCCTATGAACTCACATAGGCCTTCTACACAATCTCGAGCAGATGCTCACGTATGCCTTTGCAGTAGAATAAGCGGACAATTACTAAGATAAAAGAACGTGCATCACAGCTTGCCCAGCCTCCGTGCCTGCGTCTTAGAATAATCAAATCGCTGCTATTTTAGGAGCATATATGCCGCTAGTACTTTTCGGTATAACAGGTGTTCCACGTTGTTGCATCCTCATTTAACACAAACTACTCCCTAGGAATAGCGATGTTCATTCACATAATGCATGACGGTAAAAACAAATTTGTGACGTGATTTTTACCTTTCTGGACTCTCCTGTTTACATCGCACCTCCATTGGATGGGTCATTTGTGCTTGAAAGATCTCTGATCCATCGTCGTTCGCAGTTGTTTCACGATTCATCGGATCTTGACCTTTCGAGTTGCTTGAACGACGGACGGAAGGACTATCTCTTGTGTTGCACTGCGGCGATGGTGTTCGGATCAGCTTGGTTAGTTGTGTGGCTTGGGATCTTTGTGAAGGCTGAAAAACAACCCGGTGTTCACACTGGCAAACTAACATTTCTACAACTTGTATCAGATCTGTGTTGAACCATCATGGGTCACGCTCCGCTATGAAAAATAACTGTATACGGGTTAAACAGCATTGCTTTACAAGCCCCGTTGGGTGGTCTGATGGGTTAGCAAAAAACGTTAATGAAAAAGCAGTCAGCGGTCTCACTGTCAAACTAATGAATTTATCGTTTTTGATTCAGTAGCCCTGCACTCCGAGCGTTTTCATAGCTTCAATAAGCGAACAAATGCAAATCCAAGGTATTTCCCGGGAGTAAGATGAAGAGTAGTGTCAAGTAACAAAATGTAAGTGGCGGAGTGCGTCATGCAACCGACTTTTAAATATGGCTAGCGTGGGTACAGAAACAACGGATACGAGGACAGCGTTCCATGGCTGACACACCCAAATGGAAAAGAATTTTCTATGGCACCCCAGGCGGATGTATTGTTCTGCTAATTTTAAAAAGTGGCCTCCACATTTTGTGTTACTGCTGAGTTACAGTAAAGAACGGCACACATGATTTGGATTGTGTACAATCAAGTATGCCATAATCGAGTCGCCTCATAGTCGGCGATGCCACCCGTGAACACTTCCCAATCATTCCAGTCTATGCTCATACAGAAGGTAGCGCATTCCAATGATGTACTTAGAAGCCCGACGTTGAGGTTGGTCTAATGCAGTAAGATCGTGCTTCAGTCATGGCTGCCAGGCTTGGACTGCGTATTCGATATGGGAACGAACACGTATGCAGCATCTGTCTGAAAATAGTGCTGCCCACTTGTACGAACGCCCGTCGTAGCAAGCCGAGGTGCTAGTCACTAGTTTTCGAGGATGACATGGAGCAGCACAAATTATCCTGAACAAGGACGCCAAGGTCGCGTTTGACGGATGACCAATGCAGCACTTAAGTTCCTGGCTTGTAGGAATAGGTACTCTGATGTCGTATGGAGAAAACCTTGCATTTGCCCACGTTGAACTAACAGATTTCGGGTCGCCCAATCATGTACCGTAGCTAGGTCACACTGAAGCGAATTCTGATCGGCATCCATCTGAATCTGACACCATATCTTGATATCGTCAAAAAACAGCAAGAAAATTGAACCGATATTCTGTACAAGATCATTGATGTATACTAAAGCAACTGTGGACCTAGAACTGATCCCTGGGGCACACCAGACTCGACTGGTATGGATTCAGATAGGGAATTCCGGACTCTCACCACTAATTGTCGTTGCAGAAGCAAGTTGACCTTCGACCTTGCGTCAGCTGTACGCCGTAACGGCGCTTCGCTGCCGTGCGACCACCATCTCTAGGACGCGAGCTGGGTATGCTGCGAGGACTCCCACCCCTACGCGAATTTGAAAGTCGTCTATCCAGCTCAGGATAGAGTATTCGATCCCGTAATATTGGAGCTTGGCAAAGAAAACCTGCTGATCTAAACGATCGAACGCTTTCGACAACTCCAAGTAGATCACACCAACGGCCTCTCCAGCGTCAGCTGATTCGGTCCAACTACTCCGCGCGATTAATAAATTCGTCGTGCATGATCGCTGCCGACGAAAGCCGTGTTGCTCGGGAATAATAATTTTACCATTTTCTAGATAACACACCAACGCATTGGCAAAGAAGGATTCCATGACATTGGAGAATACAGAGCGAAGGGATACTGTGCAGTACTTCGAGGGCTCAATCCTGCTTCCGCCTTTGTGAATCACAGTTAGTATTCCAAGTTTCCACATCGCAGGAATCTGATTCTGGTCTAAATGGCGCTGGAAGAACTGTGCCAAAGTTTTTTCCAGTTTCTTGCTGTTGGTCCCAGTGCCTATGGGTGAATGGTGTCAACTCCCGGGGAGCTGTGGTTGCGCAGAGACGTCAGCTTCCGCATAACATCTTCCGCAGTAAACGAGGTGTGGGTGAGTCCTGGAGGCGAGAAAACCAAAGTTGGAAGATGGGCTGATTGTAAGACTCGCTGCAATGTGAAAGCATACTGAGTCCGCAACGCGTTTGCTGCTCCTATGGCTGTCCTAGTTGGACCATCAGTCGTCCGGAGAAAAGGGATTCCCTGCCTCAACTTACGACGTCCATTGACATATTTGTACAGCAGTTTGTGGCTAGCGCTGAACGTTTTCGTCATGTTCTGCTGCCATGCGACTTTGTCATTGAGCAGTTGAGTGCAGTAGTTACGGTGGGCTACGTAGTGCTTCCAAGTACTTGGCGTTGGTGATGATCTGTACTCTCGCCAGGCTGCGTTGCGCATAGTCATCCATTTTCTAGTTCTGCTCCTCACGAAAGAATCGGTTTTGGGCCCATTGAAAACCCTTGTCTCTGGGGCATCCGTAACCAGTTGATTGGATTTGCTGACAAATTCAAGCCAAACGACTTCTGGATGGCCTTCAACAAAGAACGACCAGGTTGTGACATAGACGAGCTGGGCTGAGCGGTCGTAGCGCTTAATGGTGCGCACCAACGCAGGGTTCTGATTGCGATACTCCACATAGCAGATGCAATCGAAACTGATGAGTGAATGATCAATGCGACCCAAAGGATATTCTACGATCAATACGTTAATCATTTGTTCCTCTTTGGTGAAAATAAGATCCGGAAAAGAAGGTTCATTACCTGTTCTGAAAAGAGTGGGTGTAATGACGTGCTTGTGAGTTGAAACACTGGATTTAACCTCATGCAAATTTGCTTTGAATGACTCTCCTATTGTAGCAGCAGTTTATAAACAGTGCACCTTGAAATCACCTATGATAATGATGCGATTGTGCTTTCGCTTTAGGCTGCATCTTAATGCTGTCGCAAGTTGGCAGTTCGTTTCTGCCGTAGTTTGTTAGCGGTATACCAAAGGGGTACTGCAGGTGTCTCTGTCATGTAATTGCAAGCGGCACCAAAGCGAATCAGCGAACTGTGTGTTTGCATCTTCAACGGCCTCGCATAGTAGGTCGCTTTAGTAATACAGAGTTAGCCCTCCTTCTTTCGTAAGCCTGTCGTTTCGCATGAGCAACATGTCCGGCAGCGAGACTTCAGCATCTATCCCAGTGTGCAACCATATCTCCGTGACACCGATAATATCGCATAGCTTCGAACTTTGGGCATCCTTCAGTTCGTACAGCTTAATGAAAACTTAAGCATTTGTATAAACGCTGAATCATTTCTCAGTCTCTCGGAGCCCACAGGGAGCCAAAGGAGTCAAATGTGGTAGAATGCCCACCGATGCAAGTTTGTCCGTTATTATTTTTTGATGGGATGATGATGACACGTCGGTTGTAAACTGTTTTGTCCAATGTACGCCCCATTCCTTGTCTAAAAATGCTGCAGAATGGCGCGACCGAGTGATAAAGTGATGCTCATGCGTAATAGCTGGTAGAATAGTTTTTTCAGTTAGGCTCGTGTCTGTCCTTAGCAATGATTCAGCAGCATTTAACTGAGGTCAAAATGAAAGGCTTTTACGATGTCTGCTCCAAAGTTCTAGCACTTCCGTTGCTGTCTACTCTGACAGAAGTAGGATTTTTAAGATTCTTGGTCCGCTTCTTCTGTAATTTGGTGAGAGCTAGCCTTTTGTGCGATCGCGTCACAACGTTGTCCAAGGAGTGTTTCACGAATGAACCGCCAGTGTTCCAAATCGTGATTAGCGGCCTCATGACAATCGGGGAAGCAAATTCTGGCACGCCATAAATAAAGATGGTGCTTAGATAATCCAGTTTGCAGTGTCCATCTGTGATGCTTCTTTTCGATTGTCGTGTGTACCAAGGGACTCAGGATTGATGCGTAGATTACAAGGCCCGTCCTGTAGGCTACTTGCAGAGAGTAAAACATATTCTACACCAATGGTCGATTCCCGTGTTCTTTTACTAATTCTGGGTTCGCTAAATGGTGCGGAGTTCGGTAACGAGCAACTCTTCCTAGGTTTGTGCATTTAACTTTTAAGTTCATTAAAATATACAGTAAGTTCCACTGGTCTTAGTCGTCAGACAACTTACCCTGCAATGTGATGACGGTAGATCCGAGGACATTGGTGCACACGACAAACAGGGAGTTATCACTGGAGCCCGTTTCTGTTGAACTGCAAGGTCGGGTGATTGTTGGGCCTGACTTTAGACCAAGTGATGATGGTTCCCTGTTTGTCGTTCTATTGGCCCTAGTGGTGTTTGCAACAGTGGTGGCACTAAATGTAGCATCCCAACTGACTTTTACAACGACCTCTGCATATGTGACTGGAGTCTCAGAGGATGCAATCTAGACCAGAGACCCTTGAGTTGCAGATGTAGTAGACTCGGGTTCGGTTATCTCATCCTGCTTACTAATACAAGTTGTCAAGACCGGCTGAATTTAATCCCTCATGCGTTTTGAGTGGTACCTGTTTTTCGGGGTCCTGAGTACCGCTTGTCCATCAGAGCTACGGTCTGTTTTCGCCTGGCATTCTTCCAAACTTGAAGAAGAGAACGGCAAAGGGACCTTGTCAATCGTAGTTCGAGCGAAGCAACTTTAGCACCACTGCTTCTCTTTGAAGTGAGTATGTAACATGATAAAAATCATGGCATTTGCTCGCTTCCAGTGATACGCTCTTAGCGTTCGTTCCTTGTTCAACTTCTCCTGTTAACCACTGCCACATTTGCACTAGGAGAAGTATGCATTGGACTAGTGCGATGGCCGAACACGCAGCACAAAACCAGATATCGTTTTGAGAGCCGGTTCGAGCTCTCACGTGTTACTGAGAAAGATTTGCACATTTTAGATGGTACCAGCTGAAACATTGCAAGCAAGGCCAACTGTTGTTGGCGGTTTGTTTTCGTAACTGTGAGACTCGAACTGGGCTACCTACCGTCTAGCGGTAGATGCGGTGCTGGTAAATTGCTTGTCCCAAATGAGATGAGACTTCTAAATCCTAATATACCCTGGGTATTTCTCTTCATAGCTCACCATGGGCAGTAGTTTAATGCTGGCAGCTAGCAGAAAGATCGCAGACG